ACTTAGATAGAGAGCCCCTCATTCAGGAAATAATTAGAAGTGGAGTTTAAAAAGAAAACAGAACAGACTGCACTGATCAGGCACAGGGTCTGATCAGACAAGCATATTGACCAGCCGCCTGCTTACCTGAGACTGGTCCTCCTATCCCTCTATTTTCCCATTCTGTTCTTCCACAAAGGACTTTGAACTCTCCCTTCCCCCACATTTGTTTCCTCCCATAAACATCCTGCATCCCCTAATAAATTGTATGTTCACCCTCCCCCCCCCCCCCCCCACCCATTTGCAGTAAGCCCCCTCAGTCTGTAAGACGATCCAGAGAGCCTTTCCATTGACTCATCCTGATGGGTTTCACCCCAGACAATGGAGCTTATAGCTCCCTTAGGACAGCCCTGGGAGGAACTGGGGCAGGGTGCCTTGTTTCTTTGATTAGGTTATTGGGGTTCCCACCTGCCATTGTTCCTTTGTGCTGCTGTCATTGTTCCTCTGTGCCCCTTTGTGTAAGGGGAGAAGAGCCTTTATCACATAACCTAACAATCTGATTGTGTTGACTCGTCCTTGCTGTCTGTGTATGCCTACAACACTGTCTTTGTCCTCCCCAGGTCCCACTCAAGAAGCTCCATGTAGCAGTGCCAGCTCCCTGCTGCTACCTGGTGTGACTACCCATTCTGTATTTAAGTTTCACAGTAGCCATCATGTTTCCATGCATAGCTCAACTCGATAACACTAGCCTGGAGGGAGAAAGCTATTTGAAAGAAATAGGGGGACAGATTTGTCCATAAAATGAGTTTCTGTCCGTTAGCACAGGAAGGGAAAACAAAAGCCCATGTATTTTCCTAGAGGGTGATTCCTGAGCTCTCTGTGGATATTTTCATTATACCTATAGGAATTCACTGCATCCATAGCTACCATATTTTAGACAGCCTTTCTTCGTAGCAGAGAGTGCTGCCTTTTGCCTGTTCAGGGTCTTTGGTGCCTGCCATAAGGACGATACTTTTTCCCCTCTTTCTTGGTTGCTTATTCAGTACCAGGACTCTACACTCTTGTCACATAGTGCTAAATACTGTCACAGGATAGAACACTGGCTGTGAACAAACTGAAAAGGGAGCATAGGAAAGTGATAAATTTGCTTCAGAGCATGCTGAGAGCTCAGGCAGAACAAGAAATGAGCAAGCTAGCAGCCAAGCTTCTTCCTTTGTGCACTGCGCTTGCCCTTCTGCCACAGTTGCTGCTCCCCGGATCAGGAGCCAGGCACAAGCCTATCATCCTCTTGCTAACCATTCTCCTCAAATCAGGGCCCCATTCACGTGCTCTTCACAAAACTGAATCTCCCCCACACCCCATCTTTCTTATCTGTCCTACTTCTTACACCTACCAGCTTCCCCATCCTTAGCCAAGAAAGTCTATAGCCACTGCCAAGTACTTCCTTGAACTGCTGTTTTGCCTGGAAAGAGGCTGCAGTGCCTCCAGAGCAACTTCCTGCCTGGTCCCAAGAGTTCTCTGAGACCTACCACAGAGCGCATCAGGTACTGTCATTGCTGTAGTGTCTCCCTCCATATGCTCAGTTTGGCCCCCTCATGTGGCCTCGTGCACCAAACGTGTTGAGGAGAAAGAGAGAGGACGGAGCAGCACTTGAGTTGCATGGACTTGTCAACTCTGGCTTGACAGCCCCTGTTTTGAAGAGGTTTAGGAGGGATTCATGGATCAAAGGGTTTCTCTTCTCATCCATTTTGTTCTACCAAATGGCACTCACCCAGAAAACATCACCCAGCCCATATCTCTGGGCTGAGCTAGTGCTTATCTTTCAGAAAGAATTTACTTTTCCTAAGTTTATGGAATTGGCAGTGCAAGCATACCAATCCTAGTAGGCTAATTATCTGCAAACATAGGGCTATTCAGTGGATATTAGCTTGGAACAAAGTCCTGGGCACATGTCTGCACCACACCTGGGACTTGGATGGGAGATGAGTGAGGAATTTGTCAACTGTGAGTCTGGCCGGGGGAGCAGGCCTGCACTGAGGGTAGGAATATGGAGCAGGCAGCTTGGATGGGAAGCGTGAATGCTGCATTTCGGAGCAAAATGGAGAATATGGGTGTGCAGAGCTGCAGGAGAGTTTGCCCCAGGGTAGAGATCTGTGGATGGGGGGCTGCTTGGTCCTCTAGGAAAGTGTCACAACTGTGGAAAAATGACAGCTGTCCTCTTGGGGGGGGGGGGGGCTGTGCTGGGCATACCTCAGCCCATGGCTCCAGCCTGCCAGAGCAAACAAGACTTGGAGACACCTAAACATTTGGCAGGTATAAGGACTGTTTCTAGTACCCATAGGGCCACCCAGGGAGGGCAACTTAGCTCAAACAGCCATGTGCCACCAAATTCAGCTGAACTAGGAGTTGTGTTGGTTGCCATAGCAACTGGGAGAGGTCATATGACTTGTTCCACTTTCTAAATATAAATCTGTTTCACGCAGTCTATGTGACACCATGGAAACCAAATGTTGAGCAAGAAAGATTGCATAAAAAAGGAGAAAATACAGAATGACTCAAAGTACTAGAGAGAGAGAGAGGCTGCTGGTAATGCTGGAGGGGTTCAGAGACTGCTGGGCATTCCCCTTTGCCAGGGTCTGGATACTGGGCTCCAGGTTAGGTAAGGGCATAAGATAATACTGGGATGCCAGCACTCTGCTTGGGGAGGGTGCGTGAGGTGCTGCTCAGTGCTGGGATCTTCATGCTAAATTCAGGATGGATGCAGGAGTCAGTGTTGGTATCCCTGTCTCCTAAGATTTTCTGTAGACTTTTGTCACTAGCAAATCCAGTTTCCAGCATCTGCTGTGTTCAGACACAGACCCTGGTTTTCTGACCGAATAATTTCTGTCCTGTTTCTGTGTCACACTCCTGAGTAACCACATACATACCCAGTTCCGCAGACTCTGGGTAGCGTTTGCCAAGTTATGTGTTTATGAAAACTCCAGTTAGAGGGAAAACATCAACCCACTAATGTCAGTACAGAGCAGACTTTTCCCTTCAGGACAGGGTTGTTCTAGTGCAGGTTCACTTCATGGCAGTTTTTCCCTTCTGTGTCCTCACATTGCCTCTTGCAGGGCATTTCCCCTGCACTTTTTGTCTAATTTTCACTGTTGCTAGTGATCCTCTTGTGCTGGGCAGGATACTGCAGTGGAGCCACATAGCTGGACTTTGCAGCCTTTCTTTGTGCTATTAGGTCTGCAACAGTACTCCATATGTGACTCTAAGCAAGTGGCAACAGCAGGTAAGTGTACAGAGACTATGTTTAAATCAGATCTTTCTCACGGCTAGACACATCCTCTTAATTTGTTCTATGCTGGGAGCTTTGTTGAAATAGGATCATAAAATCATAGAAGAATTTAAACTGGAAAGGATTTTTGGAGGTGTCTGGTCCAACCCCCTGCTCAAGGTTAGATCAGGTTGCTCATGGCCTGTATTTGTGGTTTAGGGATTGTTTTGCTTTACCTTGGGTTGTGTATCTGGGAGAGCTCCTAGGCTGCCAGAGTGTGATGTGAGCTAACACATCTTCAGGGAGCTCAGGCTTTTAAAGCACAGATGTTTCCTCCCTAGGATCTCTCTTTGAAGGGGGAAGGGGATTTCCTGCAATTTGAAAATGGGAAGTGATTTTCCTCTATTGAGCAAGGCTGAACTCGTCTCACCGGTCAGCAAGTATGGGATGGACTGAGGTCTTCAGGCTCTTCACTCTTTTCTCCCTTTGCTGCATAAAACCCCTTTTGGCTTTTTTCTTTTTTTGTCATGTTGGGAGGAGATCAAATTGCAAAGTGGTCTATAAAGAAACAGAGTGAGCTGCACTGCTGCTAACTTGATCAAGAAGAGAGAGAGAAAGAGAGAAAGAGAAAAAAACCGTAGAAAGGTGTAAGAGCTATGGTGGAAGAGAAAGCTCCAGTGCCAGCGTGCTAATGTTTCCCTGCTTGACATGCATGCCCTGCTCTGAGGTGGCTCAGCCTAACAGAAAGTGGCCAGGACTGTGGCATGCAGGCCATAGCTTTTTTGCATGGAGTGGGGTGTTTGGCCCAGTTGTCATTCTCTTTAGAAATTTGTTTAGATAATCTATGTGTAACAGCTGAGAATGTCATGAGAGACTGATCTCTGGTCAGGAGTAGGAGTGTGGCCTCTGGACAGGTTATGATGCTGGAGTGCAGCTGCCCTGACAATGATTGTCTTCCTGTTCCTAACATCCCTAATGCAATAACTCTGGATACTGGGAAAATGGGTCATGAAAAGTAGTCAGATTCATGTGTGCTGCCCTAAACAGCATATCCTTCTGTTTCTCTCAGTGCTGGAGTCCTGGACTAGGTGACTTGACCCATAGATCTGTTTTTTTTTTTTTTTTTTTCTGCTCATCTTTGCTAGCTCTTTCATGTATGAGTTGATGTTCAAGAGCTTCAGTGTCCACTCCTATTTGAGATTCCATATGCAGTTGCTGCTCATTTCTTGTTCCTTTCTGCTGTGTATATATGGGGAGACTCTTGCCTATGCCTCTCTGCAGACAGCAGAGTAAAACCATTGCTTGACATGGAGCTGTGTGGACTTTTGATCCCAGGAAATCTCATAGGAATGAGGTGCTTGTGTTCTTAATTTTGGAAGTTTTGAGAGATACTTTGGTCCCTTTCCAGGCAGCAAATACAGAGGTAGGCACCAGGGTCTCACATTCTCTTCTCTGCTTACATTGTTCAAATTTCCTGTTTCCTCAACAGCGAGTTGCAAATGTCTTTTTCAAGTCCACATTTGTCTGCCCAGCACTCTGCAGAGCCTGGTGACACTCCCAGAAATGACAGCGAGGGGAGTGGTGTGTTTCTCTCAGCTCAAAGGCACTACCAGTGTTTCAAGATTTGAAAGTCAGAAAGGATTACTAGCCCACCCAATCTAATCTTCTGTGCAGTGCAGATCAAGGAATTTCAGGGTTCCATCTTTTTCTCCGATTGGAGTATAGCAGGTCTTTTAGAAAGAGACACTTAATCTTGATGGAGAAACTCCAGCAAGTGAAGGGCTCCTTGGTAAGCCATTCCAGTCATTAATTATCCTCATGATTAACAGATGATACCTTCTTTTCAATCTGAGCCTCTCTATTTTCAACTTCCAGTCATTGTCTGCTGTTCTGTCTTTGTCTGCTAGTTTGTAAGACTCTCTCCTAATAACGAAACCTTTCTATGTAGACAGTCCTTAGTTGTGATTTACAGTTCTCATAAACCATCCTGGCAATTATTCTTCTAATAATAGGAACAAGAGATCAAAGTAATAGCACAGTCTTGCAAAGCCATCTAAGGAAGATATGTGCAAGCAAAAGTGCCTCTCTTTTCTTGTGACATACAGCAGGGGAACAGGGTGTGTCCTGATAAGAGCTGGGTTTGGGGAGAGGATTTGAAACCTACCTGAGCTGTGCAGTGCCAGCTTTGGAGCTGTGCTCTTACACACCATCTGCCAGTTGCTTCCTATTTCTGTGCTGTCTCCTGGCCTCTTTCTCTATCTTGTCTTTTTGAACTATGAGCAGGATTGCCTCTCATTGAATGCCTGGGTAGCTTGAATTCTTCCCATATGGGTGTGCAAATATGGTTCAAGTTTAATTTTGCTGATGCTAGAAGTGATTGCAGAGTGTCTGGCTAGAACAGAATTGTATCTGCCTAAAAAAACAGGATGAAAAACTGTATCCAGACACCTTTGCTTCAAAATCTCTTGTTCTGGCAGAGTAGAGACGATTTGCTGCTCACCATGGCAGTCTTATTTCTAAAAGGATGCACTATTGAATGTGCAGAACTATAAAGCACTTAATCTGTGATGCATTATAGCCCAGGTCCATAGGCCACTTCCCCACTACCAGAGTCTGCAGGTATGTCTGCTTCAGTTTGTGTGGGGGAAGATGAATGGAAAATGAAGCCAAGCTTTGTCTCCTCCTTGTTTTCTCCCCTGGGCCATTCCTAGTTCCTCTTTCTCCCCACACAGTATCAGATGGTAGCAGAGCTACTATGAAAATCGGCGTGCAAGTGCATATGGAAATGGATTACGCTGAGAACAGTGAAAGTCCATACCCCACAGGAGTAGTCCCAGCATCCAGAGGATCTTTCTATGCAGTCTTCGTGGTAGGGTAAAGTCCTGCCTAATAGGGAGCTGCTGTTTAGAATCAGATTCCTCTCTAAAACAAACGAAAGAGATCACAGCCCATGGATATCCAAGCAAATCCTTGTCTTCATTGCTGCATTTGGCAGTGGTATGGTTTTCTTTATGATCAGTCCTCTTGACCATCATTCATAGGGATTGTTGTGCTCTCTGCACTTTGTTATTGGCAGAATCAGAAGCAAAAATAGAAATACTATTAACTTCAAAATAAAATCCTTGTGTGCTTTTCTGAAGTGGTATATATCTTGACAGGTGCGCTAGCTAAACACTGACTTAAATTTGGACTTTATGCCATTTCCATCCAACTCTTGCTGATGTGCACAGTAATGTCTACACTATACTATCTACATCCAACTCTTGGTAAAGCCTTTGTATAAGAATACATCTCCAGAACCTGTCTGTAATAGACATCTGCTTTTCCTGTGGTCCATCAGGGAAATCTCAAGCAACTCTGAAAAGGTGACTCGAAAGATGTTTGGCCAATTACAGAGCTTCTGCTAAGCAAACTAGCTGATATCTGTCCTTGCAGGGTATTGATACTGAGAGTGTGAAATGAAGTAACATGGGTCCCCAAAATCAGCTGAACTTAGTCTTGACTGAAATGCATTATATACTTGCTACCTTGGATCACTATAGGACCTTATTAAGAATGATGGTGAGCAGGGATAGGTGTGATTACAGCTCTGGAAGGGAAAGAAGGTGTGAAAGACAGAAAGGGTGAGTGTGTAGTAAATGTGTGAAATTCTGTAACTTCTAGATTCTGGAATAGAACCCAAGATTTGAAAATGCAGATTCCTCTTTATGGGGTCATTTTGCACGGAATATATAGTCTGCTGTAACTATCAGTTACTTTGCTACCTTCAAGACCAGAGATGTGTGCAATGGACCTAAAGGTCTCAACCTACTGCTGAATGCTTTAGGAGCTGGTAAACCCCTGCATGGTGGAATTTTTATTTTCTTCAGTATGCTTTGGCAAACAATAATGAGGGGTCATTAACAGTGCTAGAAGTGGCATTACATAGTGAAACAAGACATTTCTGTAAACACTATCATTTTGGGGAAGAACTGAGATAACCCAGAGATAAAACTGGGATAACTTAATTTCCCTGTCATATTCTATGAGATTTAGGTTTTCATTAGTAGGATTTCAATCATTCAGGGAAAGCTGTACTAGAAAGAGCGGTGTTTCAGTGGCATGTATGGGATGGGGATGATCCTGCCCCTGTGATCACAGAATAGGTGAGGCTGTGCCAGCGTCAGTAAGATAGGAATTTGTTTTAGTACGTTTCTAAGCAGTAGCAACGAGGGGAACATTTGCTTTGGGGCAGCCTAATGTGTAAGAGTTTTCCCTTGCATCCTAACCCCAGATTAGCAAAAATTAAATGTTAATAATGAAGGCTGCTGGGTTCATAGCTGTAGCCCGGTGAGTTTGCAGCTGGCAGTCTTTAGCCATGCATCTTATTTTCCCAGAACTTTTCCCTCAACCAGTATCCCTGACTGAAGGGACCAGACAGGGTTTCATGTCTCCTTTGGGATGAAACCTTCTTTGCCATTCTAACATCAAGCAACTTTTTTAGATCCCCAGCTACTAAGGAACCACCAGAGGTGGCTGAAAGTGGTGGAAATAGTCCAGACGATGCAGTGTAGCACGGACAATTACTTGCTCCACTTCAGCTTCAACTGTATCTTTTCCTTGCAGCGTGAACCCCAATAGACTCAGGCATGCAACTGAGTGTGTGAAGAGAAGCTAAGGTGGCACTAGAGGTCTGTGTGTGCTTGGAAAGCATGTGACAGCATGACGCTCATCTCCTGCTATTGGTAATGATTTGGATCAGTCCTAATAATCTGGATCTTAATGATCTGAAAGATACCCAGATACAGATATAATCCTGTATCTGGATGATATGGATCCAGATTACACCTGGATCAGTAATGTGTGTACTATAGCTACATACACTGTAATCAGCATGCTGATACATTAACTACAGTATGGTTCCTATAAGCAAAATGGCTCTGCAGTGTTTCTCCTTGATAGTGTCTGAAAGTAATGGTGCCACTGTAAAATGAATTGGGTCAGCACCTCCATGACCAGTGTTTGGACCTCCTCTCCCCTGGTATGCCAAGGAAGTGGGTACCACATGAATATCTTTCCTTCTCAGATACTTGACAATTGTGTGCATGGAACATTAAATACAGAAGAGTTTCTTCTCTCTCACAAAAGAAATTCTGTGTACCCAGTCCTCCACAGGAAGGATGCTAGCAGGTAAATCATGCTCTGCGAAAGGCAGAACACTGTTTGTAGTGGGAAGATGAAGTGGGAGAGAAATGGAGTGAAAGTCTTTGGTTGTGTTACAGCCTCTAGAATGCCAAACCACACGGTCCCTTTCCAGATATGTGTCTGGCTAGACTTTACATTATCTGGATGTTGATTTAATAGATCTCTGTTATTTTTCCCAGCAGAAACCCAGAAAGGCAACTCCTCAGCCAGGAGAAGATGCCTTGAACTGCCATCTTCCCCCTGGCTGGCAGAGCTATATGTCTCCCCAGGGCCGCAGGTACTATGTGAACACCTTCACGAATGGTAAGTGGGAGTGGGAGTTCAGTAATTGCATCTTCGTAGCAATCCAGCTCTGCTGCAATAAATTGTGTCTCAAATTAATTTTGGTGTGGGGGGGCAAAGAGTCAAAGGTATGAACATGATCCTGCCATTACATAAAATAAAATAATTGTAACAATTATTTAGTTTAGATTTAGTCTTCGGATGCTCTGTTCTCTTAATCCTGATCATTAAAAGACATTTGTTGCTTTTACAAAAGATAAAGAAAGTAAAGAGGAAACAAACCCGCTGCAAAACATTTCCAGGATAAAATACTGGAAGGATTTAATTTTAACCATGTTCTTTATTTCTTTTTCCTTTTGCTGGAGATACTTATGTCTATATATGTACATATATGTAAAGTTGTTTGATATATTTTCAGGTATTACTAATGCACCTTTAGGGGAAAACAAAAATAGTTAATTGTAAAGGACCAAATTTGCTGATCAAGTCCAAGTCAGCTTGCTCCTGGAGACAAAATAAGAAAAGCACATATAATAGGACATCAAAGATAGACAGTGTATATTTCTATCTTTTATTCACTGTCTTGCTAGTAGAGAAGCAGGCCTTACAGTCTTTTCAACTGCTCAGGACCTGCCAAACTTGAATCACTTTCATCTTACTTAAGACATTGTGTCTACCTGTTTTTCTAGTCATGAGATCACAATAATATTGCAAAACGGACTTGTGACCCACAAAAACAGATTTCTTAAGCAGAAAGAATGACAGAAATGGGGACAAGAGAGGAAAGGACTGCAAGAGCTCACTATATTCACGTGGTGGTCAAAGCTATCAGAAATTACCATTGGCATTCCCCTTTCTGACTCACTGTGAGGGCAAGGCGAGCCATGAAATGTCAATACAGTAGTGACACAGCTCACACTCTACTCTGGGACTTTTTTTTTTTCAGGATCCTTTTGGCCTAGAATCTTTTCCCATGAATTCTGCCAAGTCATTTTTTACCTGGGTTTTATGCATCGAGGTCTAATAGGACTGTCCAGAAGGTACATTACCATTAAACACTGCCTTTGTTTTGACGCACAGCATATCCTGGCTCATTGGCAGCATCCCCTGCACTCACTGAGAAGATTGGTAGGAGCTAGATACCTTATCCCCATTGCAGTTCAGAGATGGATGAGGAGGTGGTTAAACTCAGTCCTGGGCCAGCATGGTGATGGGCCCTGACATTTATTGGCTTGAGGTCAGTTAAAAACACTAAGAGGCAGAGCCTGTTTTTTGTGTGATAAAAGCTCTAGTTAATGGATTTATAACCCAGAAAAATAGATGACCTAGACAGTTTTTCCATAATCCCAGGCAGCTTATTACCATCCTCACAATAGTGGTAGATGGTATAACAAGGAACAATAGCCACATATTGTAGCTTGGGAGGTTCCAGTCAGGCAACGGGGAAACAATTTTCACTAGGAAGGAAGGGTAGCACTAGAACAAATTGCCCACAGAGGTTGTTGGATCTCCATCCTTGAAGGTTTTCAGGAATTGGCTAGACAAAGTTGTGGCTGACCTGATCTCTTGCTGGCAGTGATCCTGCTTGGAGTATGCAATTAGATTAGAGACACCCAGAAATCATTTCTAACTAACCCTTCTCAGGAGAATGCCCAAACCACCTCTGTTTACCATCTCACCTAACGCAACTGGATTGCTGTGCTGCAAGCTATGTAGTTTCAGAGTAACAGATAATACAAGACAGAGTGGAAGGGGGATATCTGGGTTCTGGTCCTTGCTTTAGGGCCTGCTTACTCATGTTATGTTTAGATGGTTGGATAAAAGACATAAATGAATTGGGAGTCTAAAATTCCTCATCAGAGGAGTCACACAGAATCACAGAATGGTTGAGGCTGGAAGGGCCCTCTAGACATCATATAGTCCAAACACCCTGCTCAAGCAGGGTCACCTAGAGGTCCAAGGAGGGTCACATTGCCCAGGATTGCATCCAGACGGGTTTTGAATATCTCCAGGGAAGGAGACTTCGCTACCTCTCTGGACAACCTGTTCCAGTGCCCTGTCACCCTTACATTAAAAAAGCTTCTCCTCAGGTTCAGATGGAACTTCCTGTGGTTTAGTTTGTGCCCTTTGCCTCTCATCCTGTCGCTGAGCACCACGGAGAAGAGGCTGGCCCCATCCTCTTGACACCCCCCCCCTTCACATACTTGTACACATTGATGAGATCCCCTCTCAGTCTTTTCTTCTCTAGGCTCAACAGGTCCAGCTCTCGCAGTCTTTCTTCAGAGGAGAGGTGCTCCAGCCCTCTAATCATCTTGGTAGCCCTCCGCTGGACTCTCTCCAGTAGTGCCATGCCTCTCTTGTCCTGTCCTGGGGAGCCCAGAATTGGACACAGGACTCCAGGTGAGGCCTCCCCGGGGCTGAGGAGAGGGGCAGGATCACCTCCCTCCACCTGCTGGCAACACTCTTCCCAATGCATCTCAGGATGTCATTGGCCCTCCTGGCCACAAGGGCCCATTGCTGCCTCAGGGTCAACTCCTCTCCAGCCTGTCCAGGTCCCTCTGAATGGCAGCACAGCCCTCTGGGGTGTCAGCCACTCCTCCCACTTCTGTATCATCAGCAAACTTGCTGAGAGTGCACTCTGTCCCTTCCTCCAGGTCATTCATGAATATATTGGACAAGACCAGAGCCAGTACTGACCCCTGGGGGGACACCGCTATCTACAGGCCTCCAACTAGACTCCGTGCCATTGACCACAACCCTCTGAGCTCTGCGATCCAGCCAGTTCTCAATCCACCTCACCGTCTGCTCATCCAACCCTCACTTCCTGAGTTTACCGATGAGGTTGTGAGGGGGGACAGTGTCCAAAGCCTTGCTGAAGTCCAGGGGGACAACATCCACTGCTCTGCCCTCCTCTATCCAGCCAGTCATCCCATCATAGAAGGCTATCAGCTTGGTCAAACATGATTTCCCTTTGGTGAATCCATGCTGACTACTCCTGATCACCTTCTTGTCCTCCACATCCCTTTCCCAGGATGGAGGTGAGGCTGACAGGCCTGTAGTTTCCTGGCTCCTCCTTCTTGCCCTTTCTGAAGACTGGCGTGACACTGGCTTTCTTCCAGTCCTCAGGCACCTCTCCTGATCTCCAGGACCTTTCCAAGATGATGGAGAGTGGCCTAGCAATGATATCCACCAGCCAAACTGGCATTAAAGTTAGGCTTATTCTTGTTCCTTGTGCTGGACTCAGGAATCATGCGTTTTTGAGTCCCCTCAAACCTTCTAAGATGTCTGTAGTCTTTTGTGAGACTACAGGCTTCCCTTGCCGCATCTGTAGGGGCACTATGGCCCCTCCATGCCTCCAGTTTAGCTTTTGTTCCAAGCCAACTCGGTTTTTCTCAGTCTATTCAGTTAGTATACCCCACTGCTTGTAAGTTTTCTAGCTGTATAGTTATTGCTTTTTGCTAGTCTATTGGCTTGATGATTTTGTCAGATTCACATCCCAAATTCCTCTGCTTCCTCAAAGTGAGCAATGTGTAAAGGAAGTGTCACCTGTGGGTGTCATTTAGACCTCAGACAAAGCAGAAGCTGTATGCAACCTCCAGAGCTTTCCGTTGAAGTGCGTGATGAAGCCTCATTCAGCCCCAGAGTGAGCAGCTGTCTGGACACTGCTTTGATTAAATCTGACTAATTGGCTCTGAGCTTTGTCCCTACAAAAACTGCTAGTGTGGGACTATCCGTAGGCAGATTGTCCAGTCTCTTGCTGGATATGCACTTTCTTCCTTTACAGTGCTGCAGGGTTGGGCCTTCTGGGCCATGCAGACTTTCACAAAGTCACATTTGGCACGTGGGGCTTGCTCTTTAATAAAGGCTTTCACCTTGAAACTTAACAAGTATTCTTCGGCTCCAAACCATAGGATAAGAAGTCAAAGACAATATGCTATAAATCTGCAGTCCCCATCTTTCCTCTGGTACAGCTGTGCTGGCATGGGTAATGTTTAGCATGTCTCATAGACAGCACAGCTCACTGACTGTACCCACTGACTTGTCTTAAATGCTTATTTGTCCTGTCATTGCTGCAGCTGCTGCTGGGAGTATCAAGATAAGCAATGACAGTGTTTGCCACCAGGACATGGTACCAGCGTAAATCTCTGTTACAGGGTTTTATGTGCCTCCTTCCTGCTTTGCCTCCTCAGCACCATTGTTTGAGCAGCAGGAGCTGAGATCTCTTTTCAGTCAAGGTCTTTCCCATGTAGGTGCACTCCTAGGTAGCTCTCTTTTTATCCAAGCTATCATCAGATGATGAACATACACTGAAGTGTTTGAGAGAGACATCACCGTTCAGTTGTTGATGCATAAACACTGTAACTCAGAGGTCAATGGAGGTTAGAGATGTTCCTGGCTGGCCCTCAGTTTGATCCCTGTAGTTAAAGATCTTTTGCCCACCGTTACTCATCAACAGCAGTTAATGCAAAACTCTTGGCTTGTAAGGTCATAACCATTTCTCAGATCTCCCAGGAATGAGTCAAGTCTGTACTAAAAAGGATGATCAGAAAGTGTTTCAAGACCTCTTTCAGACCACCCTTCACAAATTCTCTCAGGTTTTCCTTTCTACCACAGGGAAGTCTAGGTGTTCAGCAACTTCCACAAACACTGAATCACAAAGTGGCTGGATGACTGCATGTGGACTTGCTATAAAAACTTGGTAAGGGGGACAGCCATTGCTAGAATGTACCTCTGAACTCAGTTGAAAGACAAATAACATTACTAATTCAGTCAGGAGATAATGTTGTCCACATGCAGATTCGTTTCCTGTGGTCTTTACTCTCTGATTCCAGAGCTGAGAGGGTCTGAAATGATGCTTTGTTTCATCTACCACACGTGGAACAGAAGACTGGAAGGCGTCAGGGAAAACTGCTTTGGGTGTCCGTGATTGGAATGATGGAAATAATGTCTCCCAAGAAGGGCACAGGTTCTCCTCTTGACAAAACGTGCATGTATGCTGCACATCCTGACAAACCCTCAGC